GGACGGGCCTAATATACGACAAGAAGCTTCTAATTTCTACCGCGATACAATGTCGCCACCGTCAACGCGGAGTTCGTGGCTGACTAGGCAGGGCCCTTAATATTGAATATTTTTTAATGTTAAAATAATATTATTTATAAGCAAGCAAACAAATAATATAAAAATAATGTAATTTTAAAACAAATTCTAATTAAACTAAATTCTATAATAAATGAATAAAATGTACGTGTTAATTTAAAAATTACAAAATTAATTTTATTAATTTGTTAATTTTATTAAAGAAATAATATGTTTCTGCAAAAGAAATTTGTTTTTAAATTGTGTCAATGTGTTACATTTTAATGTTATTTTTTATAATATTTGTATTACTTCCTAACACATTCATCTTGTGCTAAATTCATATAAAAATTTAATAAGTGAATCGTTTCGAAACATGTAAAATATATTAAATTTAACACATTTTATAACTGTGTTAAATTAATACAATTTATGAGCAAGCGAACAAATGACAAAAATAATGTAGTAGTATATAAAAAACAATTTTAATTAATTATATAATACATAATTAAAGTTTTTAATTGCATCGCTATTATAATATTATATTATTATGAAAAAATTTGCTAAAAATATTTCATAATATTTAATTAATTTTTAAGAATTTTCTATTAAATTTATAAAGATTAAAAAAATATATTTTAAACTAACAGATTTTATAAGTTTTCTTAAAAAATTATAATTCGGAATAATTATTCGAAATTATATCTTATTATTAGAACATTTCGAAATTTATATATATGAAGAATTTTAGAAAAGATAAACTTTGAGGAAAAAAGTAAACTTTGTTAGTATTTGAAAAGTATTCCAATTCGTACAAAAAGCTGAGACATTTTCTAAAATGTTGCAAAATTGTATAAAAATTAAAAAAATTATATAGAAACTAAAAAATTATATCACTTATTTATTAAAAAAATAACGACATAATTCAAAAGCAAAATTTTCCAGAAAATGAGTTTTAATGTTTTGAATTCCTTAAAATTTTGTTATGTTAAGTATTAAATGGAATTTTCGTATAACAATAATTGTAGAGAAATAAAAGCATTATATATATCTTCTTTCTTTTTCTCTTTATATTTATGTCTTTTCTGTAAGCAAAAATGACAATTTTTTTAGTTATATTGTTGTGCGAATGAACGATATGAAGAATCTGAGTCAGAAATGATTAATCAAATTGATCTCGAATCGACTGCGCATGATCGATGAGTTGATAAATGATCGATATCGCGGAATACTAATCAATATTTTTGTCATCCTTAATCTCATCATAATTTAGTATAACATTTATTATAACATTTTTAATGTTAATTCAATTTCTGTCGTTTTTCTGCCAATTCTTTATATACAATCGATGCAGTCAGAAAGCGTAGTATATACTGTGTATTTGACGTAAACTTGACTGAAAGAATATTTGCAATTATAGCTAGTCAATTAACATATATAAGAACAAAATGAGGTTGACAAAAATATCAGATATTATTATTCGACATCGATCATTTAAGTATGACTAATTATTTTACGCTGCAGAGATTCTAAGAAAATTTTTGTCATTACAATACGATTTGTTTATATCATGTTAAATTTAATATTGATATATAATTGCGACGTTTCGATTTAATTCAATGTTCAGGTATCCCCCTAATCTTATATTCATGCGGTTGACGCGTGCATATATATATATTCATTATTCATACAGCAGGAAACGAATTATTTATGCAAATCGTTTATCAAATTTCAAAGCGATAATTTAACGATATGATATCAAACGTATCTGCAATTCCCCGCGTTTTGTACGAAAAATAAAAAATCATTACGATACGTACAATATTTCAATTGACGCCAAGAGCATATATATTGTTCACAATTCGCATCGGTTGTTCCGAACGCGAAAGAATTGCAATAGGTCTACACGTGTCTAGCTTTTACGCAACTTCATGTAACTTTTTTCGAATTAATTTCACCGATACAAGGTCTTATACCGTCCAAATCGGCCGTTTCTCTCGAGCCGATTCGATGTTTTTACAAACGTTAGTACAATTACACGCGCCACATCGCCGCATGCGTCGTCGGCCGTCGCGAGGTACAATATCAGTAGTAGTGGTCGGCCAGTAGTGGGTTCGCTGCCGAGCCGAGTGGTTGTAGAGAATTGATTTCTCTCGTGTTCTCGCACAACCTGAATCTTCCTCGTTCGCGATCTCCCGTTCCCGATCTCACGTTCGCAGTCGTTTCCCTCTGACTCGCAGTACAAGGCGACTTTTGACTCTCAACTTACGCTTTCCGCTTTCAGCTGATCCGACAGTACGTCCGACGCGGTGTCAGCACTCGTCGTATCGTTAACGCTGCAAAAGGTAACGTATCCACCACCTGGAAGCACGGACAAGTGCTACGTCACCCTGTCACTTTCTCCTTTTCCCTCGTCCTGGTTTTACACTGTTGCACGTGGTCGTCGAATGACTGCAATTCCGTGTCTTTTTTCTCTTTTACCTTTTTTTGGCGAGTCAAGGCTCGGAGTCTAGGATGACAGGTTGTTATCTAATGTCAACGTCCCCCCTCCCCTTTGCTCGTTTCCTCGCACGCGAATTATGCAATTCCCGAGAGATTGGATCGTTCGCAATTATTGGATTGAGATAATCTTCAGATTGTACACTGTCATGCTACCGGTTTTTTTCAGTATTATTTGCGTTCGATATCAGCTGTAAATTTATTTAATTTGTGAACATATGTTTCAGTCCTTTTTATTTAGCATATTTTTAACTGTAGATTGTTATGTTGAAATATTTTCAAAACGTTACATATTCGTTATCATTACTTTTTATTTTGACAATTTGATATGTCATCTCATACAGGCGATTCAGAATGGAGTGTAATAAACTTCGACATATTGTTTGCAAAGTCATTCTGAGTAAAAAAAGTCATAGAAACATAGACGCTATTATCAACGCTTACATAGTGACAGGTTTTAAAATTTTACTGCTGTCACAGTAAAATATCACATGCTTGATTGAAGACGTGACTTTTAAGAAATCGAAATTAAACAGGAAAATATGCAAACATTTGCATATTTATTTAGTTGTTTTATAATAAATATTCAAAATGCGTTTCCTGAATGCACACATTGCGACAAATCTAGGAATCGTATACATGATGCAGAATATATATTATTCATATAAATTTCATTTGTTGCATCAGTAATTTTTAGTTTGCTTTTTTGATTTCTCAAAGATTAATTCCTACCAAACATACGATTTTACTATGATAGTATCAAAATTTTAAAATTTCTGTAACTATGTAAATAGAATAAGATCTATATCCATATGGCATGTTCTCATCAAGATGATCTCCGAAACAATCTAAGTATTGAAGTTTGTTACACTTGTTCTGAATCACCTTGTATACAAATGAATGTATTTTCAGATCTTCTAACAACTATGCCGTGCCCGTTCTTGACCCGTTTGCCTGCAAACTACGTTCGCAATTATGGCTCATCCCTGATAACAAATTACCGGCAGCACTGCCCAGTAATGTCAAGATTGTTCAGTACGATGCCAGAGTCGGAGGAGTCACAGCCGATTCCCGAGCCTATACAAAATCAATGTCCCTTCTTGTCCCGAGAACGGGACGCCGTCAAGAAAGCCAGTCCAGCAATGGAGGAAGACGTTATCAATCTAGGAGGTGCTACGGAGCGGAAGGAGGAGTTCCCTTACGACGAATTCTTCCACGAGCAAATTATGCGAAAGAAGAAGGATCATTCGTACCGAGTGTTCAAGAAGGTCAATCGTCTGGCCGAAGAGTTTCCGGTGGCTATGGAATACTCATGGGGCGAGAAACCCATAACTGTATGGTGTTCCAACGATTATCTGGGAATGTCGCGTCATCCCGCGGTGATCGGCGCAGTCCGAGAAGCGCTGGACAAGTTCGGCGCTGGTGCCGGAGGCACGAGAAATATCTCTGGAAACTCCATGGGTCATGAGATGTTGGAGAAGCGACTGGCGCTGCTGCATCAGAAGGAGGCCGGTTTGCTCTTCACCTCCTGCTTCGTCGCGAACGACTCTACCTTGTTTACACTGGCGAAAATTCTGCCGGGTTGCCACGTGTTCTCCGACGCTGGGAATCATGCCTCTATGATACAGGGTATAAGAAACAGCGGCGTGCCGAAGCATATATTCCGGCACAACGACGTGGAGCATCTGGAGGAGCTCCTGTCGAAGGTGGACAAAAGCGTGCCGAAGATCGTGGCATTCGAGACGGTGCACTCTATGACCGGTGACATCTGCCCGCTGGAGGAATTGTGTGACGTCGCACACAAGTACGGCGCGATAACGTTCGTCGACGAGGTCCACGCGGTCGGCCTGTACGGCTTCTCCGGTGCCGGGATCGGGGAAAGAGACTGGGTGCTTCATAAAATGGATATAATATCCGGAACCCTGGGCAAGGCCTTTGGCAACGTGGGCGGCTATATCGTCGGTTCCGCGAAGCTGATAGATATGATAAGGAGTTACGCGGCCGGTTTTATTTTTACTACTTCACTACCGCCCACCGTGCTATATGGAGCCTTGACATCCGTCGAAATTTTGGCATCGGACGAAGGCAGGTCGTTGAGGACGAATCACCAGAAAAATGTGGCCTATATGAAGTCTATTCTTACTGCCGCCGGTCTTCCAATAGAACCGTCATCTTCTCACATCATTCCGGTAAAGGTAAGATGCAACTAAAAAATTAATTTATTTATTGATCCTCATCATTAACAATAAATTATTAATAAATAATATCCTTTTTTTTTAGATAGGAGATCCATTGGTGTGTAGTCAGATAGCGGACCATTTATTAAGAGACAAGGGACACTATGTGCAAGCTATAAATTATCCTACGGTTCCAAAGGGCGAAGAGAAATTAAGATTAGCCCCAACACCGAAACACACTCAGGCCATGATGGATAAATTCATGCGAGACACGCTGGATGTTTTTCATCAACTGAATATAACCACTAAACCAAACGATGCACCACGTGCCATTCTGGTTCATTGACGAATGTACATAATATAAATGATTATCGTACAAACAAAAACCCATTACACAGTGTTAGATATATTCTATATTTATTTATCTAGCCTGTTTATCCATTGTGTTCTAACAACCTTTTGAATTATCAGTACATAAATCTTGCTATATTATTAAAGTTAATAATTAACAGAGGTTTAAATAAAGTGTTGATCGATGAAAATTTGCAGCCAGTGTATCTCTCTATCTTATTAGTATTTTAAGATCACCCGTGTATTTGTGATAAAAGCTGAGATAATATCCAAAACAAAGTTATTCTAAGCATGTGCACCTCTTAGAAAAGTTTAATATCATAAGTATTAAATTAGTTAATGATTAATTATTTTATGTATTAAAAGAGCATTAACAACAGAGCTTCTGAAAAGCTCTATTCCAATTCATATAAAGATTGAGAAATTTTCTAATAAGTTATAAAATTATACAAAAATTCTGAAACATTCTGAAATTTACATAAAAGTTCGGAAAAATTATATAAAAAATGTTAAGAAAAATTTTCATCAGGATATAGTGCAGTCTTCCCATCCTGTAAAGGTTAAGTTGTTATGCCTTTGATTTTTACAGAATTTACAATATAAGCCCTCATTGTTGCTTAGCATCCCGCCTGTCGTTCATTATCACAATATTATCGAAAGAAAGAGAAATCTTAATGAAAAAATTTAAAATATAAAATTTCTACGTCTTTTGCTCAACTATTCGCACACGCGCACTTGCGCGCCCTCGCGTCTCGTCTGCAGTCTGCTCGCCTGTCTGCTCGTCAGGTCGTGGTGTCGTCTGCAGCTGTCAACTCCATTCCAGGTGTGTGTGTGTGTGAATCCTTCGGGAAAGATGCGGATCTTGCTCATCTAACAGCGTCGGTCGGCAGGCACGCGCGCGAAAATGCCCGTACGACAATCGGAAAATACACAGCCGCAGATGTAACGCGACCCGTCTGAGATTCAAGCCTTCGACTGGTATGTTTATTGGCGGTCGACCGCATATAGGTTAGCAGTATGAAGAACTTCGTTAGTATTTTGAAGATCCTATTTCTGAATCACGCGCGCGGGCTGTCGTACACCGTGACGATGACGCTCCTGCTGTGCTACTGTCTCCATCCAGCACGATTCGCTTCCCACTACACCTTCATCAAGACTGAGAACATCTACGACGAGATGGAGAGGTCGTACCCGCCGCGGGATAACTCCTGCGTGATCCCCGTCGGCGGTAGACGATCCTCACAGCTGCTCTACCCGGAGGAACATCCCCGGGAGGACCCGGTGGCGATGGCACGTCGACTCGGCATCCTACCGGGTGGCCAGTGGAAACCCCTCAATTGCCATCCCCTCTTCAATGTGGCGATTATACTGCCCTACCGTAACCGGCAGACTCAGCTTGCCATTTTCATGAACTACATACACCCGTTTCTGCAGTCACAGAATCTGGACTATCGGATATTCGTAATCGAGCAGAGCCCGATGCGCGAGTTCAATCGCGCCAAGCTGTTCAACGTCGGCTACGCCGAAGCCACCAAGATCAACGATTTCCACTGCTTCATTTTCCAGGACATAGACCTGATACCGCAGAACCCCGACAATATCTACGCGTGCACGAAAATGCCTAGGCATATGAGCTCCAGTGTAAATACCTTTCGATACAATCTACCTTACACCGGCCTGTTTGGAGGCGCAATAGCACTGACGAGGAAGCAATTTGAACGAGTAAATGGATTTTCCAATGTTTTCTACGGGTGGGGTGGAGAAGACGACGATTTCTACAGTCGTTTGCAGTCGAGGGGTTTTCAGGTTTGGTCGATATAAAAAAAAAATAATAAGTGACGCTTATTTAATTAATTTACTTAACTGATTTTATTTCACAGATCACACGCTTCGGACCGGATGTAGCGCAGTATTATATGCTAATACACAAGAAAGAAGCTCCCAGTACTACAAGATTCGCAAATCTGGAAAACGGCGCTCGAAGATACGACACTGATGGACTCAGCAATCTAGAATACAGAGTATTAAATCATCAGTTGCGGCCATTATACTCTTGGATTTTAGCTGATGTGTAATTTTTTTTTTTTAATCTAATAGGATATATATCTATTTTAAATTGCGTTGATCATATAAGTTATTATAGTACATTGCATATTCTAGGAATATTAAAAAATTTCATCTTACACATAAAGTATACTAGAGATTCAACGAATAAACATAATTGTTTTAGCATGCTGTGATAGAGCACTATGATTAAATCTCGCAAGAATATTTTTTTAACGATTGAGATAATATTTCATTTCTGTGTTAAGAATTTGAACAATTAAGCTTGCAACAAATATTTTCTAGTGAGTTTTTTCAATAGTAATAGCACACAGTGAGATGACAACAGTAATAATAATTAACAGACTGTACAAAGATATAGAAGATAAAATGTAATAACGTATTATGATATTGTATTGATAAGAGTTGAAGACTGTAATCATCAGATACATTTCTTATTTTAGCTCATCAAGAACTCATAAGACAGAGAGCAATGCCATTTAGTCACAATATTAAAAAATGTCTTGTCACTGCATTACATCATTTTGCTTGTCAATTTAATTTATGATATATACTCACAATCAGTTTAGAATTGTGTTTCAAGGCCGATAAATAATCGGCGTGCATTTTGCATGAACTAGAAATTGTAAAATTAACACAAAAATATTATTAGGCACTAAGATCCATTTTGGTCATGAATAAGGCCTTTTTTATTTATTTTATATTATTTACATACCGGTCGATTTTCTCTTATTGTTCACATTATTTAATGGTAGAAATCTTCACATATATATAAAATATATTAGTATAATCTTTATAATAATTTGATAATCAATGATACTTACGATACTTACCTCATATCCAAAGAGATTCTGGTCTTTTTATGTTGTAAGTTATAATAGAGTGCAGTATTCTCCGTACTGATTGTTCGTAGGTACTTTAGATATATTATTTTTTTGTTGTAAGATTTGTGGAATTGTATAAATATTTAAATGTGAATGATCAGAGACTCTCTAACATTGCTCAGACTAATGCTTAATATTGAATTATTACATATCTGGTTTCTTATAAATTGTGAATAAATAAGTAATAAATAAAATAGGAGAGACTATATATATATTTTGGTTTTTTTTGTATCTGAATATAACGAAAAGTTATAGTGATAGAACAATACTAATATAATTTAAGTATACCGTTATAACGATGAAATATTATAAAACAATGAAACATGTTTATTAATTAAATTGATCAAGAGAATATAATAATAAAAAGTGTCGGATTATAGAAAATTAAGTAAAATTATATATCGCACATTTGTTGCAACAGCGACACAATTCGAAAAATAGTTTTTCAGAAAATAAATTTGAATGTTTTAAATCATTAAAATTTGTAATATTAATTTTGAAATATAATTTATAATTTTGATGTAATAAGTGATTGTAAATAAGTATTTTTTTAAAGTATATTCTTTTTTTTTTTCTTAATGTTTTCGTGCTTTTTCAAGCAACTAAAAAATGATAATTTTTGAAACATGTCATTATATAGTAAATGAGCTATATAAACGTAATTTTGTGAATAATGCTTATTCAAAAAATATGTTTAGAAAATGTAATATAGTTTTTAATGTTTTTACTATGTTTAAAGAAACAAAATATTCTAGCATTCTGATATTTAACTTTTTTAATTTTGGAGATATATTATGTATTAATGAACGTATCTCTATTTCTAATATATATTCTCATATTCAACACTTATAATAGTTCTACAAAATATCCAGTAAGGATTGTTATCTGATAAGACTAAATTATATATATAAAAATCACATAAACACTAATATCGTATATTTATATTTTTAGAATATAAATATACTATTATATTTTTCATTTTTTAAAGCGTTGAATCGAGTTATTTCTTCTTGTAATCTGATCAAAAATTTTGTAAGCGTGTATTTCTTATTGGCAGTATCGTATTATTCACTCATAAGTAAATAATTTGTAAAACAAGAATTTTAGGATATTCTAATCAAATATAGATATAAATTCGTTTATTCTATTAAATTGTCTATTAAAGTTTAATCCATTATAAAAAATTCACACGTTCTGAATATGTAAATAGAACTGCATGTAGTACATTGTACATTTATTAATTTTTCCTAATATTATTTAATACATAAATATCGCTGACTTTAGAAAAACAAGAGTAAATTATAAGAATGATGTTTGAAATCCTACAGTGATAAATAACATAATGCATTATCTCCAAAACATGATAAAAATTGTAATAAAAAAGAAAAATAAATGTATATATGTGTATGAGGTAAACAAAATGCTTGAACATCTTTACAACTGATATGATTAAATGAAACTCGCTAGATTCCATTATGATATAATAAATATAAAAGATGCGCCAATATATATATATATATATATAAAGACAAATTTAAACATCGAATTGTGTAAGGAACAAATCACATATTTTTTATAAAAAATATGAATTGACTGTTAATAATGCTTTCATAAAACAATACATAGTACTTTGCGCAGAGATTGTATTAAAAAAATACTACAAATATTTCTGCATAATATAATAATGTTTGATATTTATTTTTAGTACAACTTTATATAACTTATCGAATCACCAAACAAACATTTCATGTTCTAAAAATAATTTAACCTGTCAAAAACATACAATTCAAAGAAAATTTTGAATAAGATCCTATTCATTTGCCACGATGTCTTTTTTTATATTATTCAATTATTTATAATTTATTCGTGGACAAATATTATTGCGTTACACAATGATACAATAATTATAGTTATCTCGACAGAGTGATCTCGTGCGGAAAATGCATTCTTGAAAAAATCAGAAATATATAATCCGTTTTCAGTTCGAGTAACACTGCTGTTATATAAATAAAATGTGGCGCGCGCACATGTATATGTTTGTGTATATTTTGACAATATATTGTATTTTCGTGTACCGTATATATATTACAGAAAAAAAGAAATTTATTATACGTAGAATATCGTTCAAGCATACGAGAACAGGACTTTGCACAAGGGTGTATAAAATGCGTATTGCATGGCGCATGCCACAGTCCCATTGAATTGGCTATCACTGTGCAGTTACCAGTAAATTGCTATTACATTATTCGGATAACAATACGAGAGCGTGTAATTGTGTCTATGGAAAATGGAGTACAAGAACTTGTATATATAAAATCTGTATCTTAATAGTATCCTACGTATTACGTGTCGGACAGTTCTTGGTATCGCGCGTACATCATCTTTTTCACGCAGTCCTTGTAGGTATCGCCTGGTAACGCACTGTACGACGAAGTCTTCGCTCCTAAACCGGCGGTAGGGACGCGCCTCTCGGCTTCGATAATACTCGTTCTACCTTGATTAGATTTTCCTAAACCCATTCCCTCGCTCCAGCCCATCTTTTGCAGTAATTTATTGCCGACGTTATCCGATCCGATACCGGCACGTGTAGGTTCCTCGTAAGATACCGACATCTCCTCCACTCTAGTCTTCAAGTATTTCTCTTTTAGTTTATTGGGCTGCGGTGGTTCGGGTTCGCCGTACTTGGCTCTCCTTTCCTTGGCGCGGTCTCTGTACTTATTGTTCCTTTGCTGTGGATCGTTAGGATCTAGACCGCGTACTTGATACCAGTTCTCCAGGTTTTGTTTGTGGAGGTCGGACAACTGTTGATGGCGAAGCAATCCCTCCTTGCTTGGGAACTGCCGTTTGCAGAGCAAACACGCGAGTTTACTCCAATCCGTGTGTTGTTTCTCTTCCTGTTGCACGTCTTCTATCTCCTCTTCCGTGTCGCTACCGCCTCCGTAAGCAGCCACTAATCCGTTACCACTTTGATCCTCGTCCTCGTGATAAGGATTCGCGATAGTTTTCTTTTCTAGAATGGCATATCCTGCGTCTGCCGCGCCACTTCCGACACCCTGATTGCCATCCATACCGGCAAACTCAGAGTTCCAATTACTCTTGGCGTTTTCCTTCTTCTGATTCAAAGTCTTTGCCCAACGTTCCATGTCTTTCGCTATTTTCTTCGCTACTTTCACCTTGTCCTGTTTGCTGTCCTTTTTCTTATTTTCGTCCTCTTTTGCTGCCTCCTGAGCTGCATTAGCGGCTGACAAAGTCGTAGCTTGACTGCTGATATTCGCGGAATCTGTACTGCTTGCCGTTGCTGTTATCGTACTCGTAGCTCCCTGCGTCGTACTCGCAGTAGTCTGTAAACAATGCAAAAATGTTTTTCTTAATAAGATCTTTTAAACAGATTTATACACCGTCCTTTTTATAAGATTCACTTTTAATTACCTTAGCTGGTTGATAAGAGAATGATTCGGCGTCCCAATAAAGAAACTGTTGCGTGTGGCTATTATAATAATATTGCGAGTTTGGGTCGTAATATAATCCCGTGCTGGGATCATAATAGTAGCCAGATGATTCGTCGTAATGATAAGTGCTGACATCCGGTACAGCTGCAAAAACAGATATAGGATAACAGATATAGGATAATTTTCAAGATTTAAATTATTTAAAATAGATTTAAAAAAGCTATTCTATGAACTCACAATATACTTTTCCATCGCTGGAGTGTGCAGGAACCCTTCCGCTGGCTAAAGTTGTACTAGAGGGTGCTGTAGGAGTTGGTCGTCCTTTCACATCGTCAGTTTCGCCTCCTAGCTTCCTGGACGCCTGTAACTGCTGTATAGCGGATTGCGCTACCGCCGCAGCCGCGTTTACTCGATCAGTCTGATTCAGGGATGGCAATGTGATCGCCGAGCCCTGCATTATCTGGTTCTGATAGTACTGCGTATAATACTGAAGGTAATGGGCCTTCTGTGCAGGCGTTTTGGCATACAAGTTGGCACTATACTCAGCCAATTGAGCGACGTCGTCCAGGGTGTACCTCTGTGGCTGAGTGTCATTCGACTTCCACGTGTTCGCGTTATTAATTTGATGAAGCTTACAATATGTTATCTCCACCTTCCTGCCGTCGACCACCAGTCCTTGTTTCGTGAGTGCGGTGTGCAAGTACATGGCGTCTACCACATTGCCCATCTCCAGGTAGCACACTCCCCTGGACGTATTCGTGAGGGAATCGCGACCGATGCGAATACTGCGTATCGGCATCGACGACAGATTCTTCATCGCTTGCAGAACCGAATCCTCGGTCGTTAAAACGTCCAATCCCCGCAAAAGCACGGTGTTCGTGGGATGCGGGCTAATTTCGTCGCTACCTTCCCCACCCTCCTCGCTTTCCGCTCGCGAGGCGGAACACTTGAAGCAAGTTTCACGCCGTTTGAAATTGTGTGCTCCACACTGTATGAAAGAAATGTATAATATAGTGATGAAATTATTCGTGACCATGATATTCTATAAAAGAGCGAACTCGATACGAACCTTAACACAGTGCCAATCCTGCGTATTCTTCGCCGGCGGTTTATCCACATGGCACTCTTTCGGTATACTGTATTGCATCAGTGCGCGATATTGATCCTGCAGCATCAGCACTCCCTGAAACAGAGAATTTCAGTGTTATCCCGTCCAATGTCTTCCTAAGGCCTCTTGTTTTTCCCGTAAACTTTCTTCTTGGTTGACGAAATTATAGTTTTCTACTTCATAGCTTTCTGTCTCAAACAGCGAACAAAGCCTCATGGGCTTATTAAACATTTGGGCCATTCCACACCGACTTGCAGACCGACTTTGTTCATGCGCGACTCTATGTGAATAATGGTAATTTAAATTTCCGTAAGGAAATGCAAGCAACACGAGAATTGCTTGCGCATAATAAATTTTGAAATTTGAATTGTGAATAAAAGATTCTGTCGCGCATAATCTCCATAGAGACTTTGAACGTCGCAAGTAATTGCATCAAGAATTAAGCGAAATGCAAGAAGCAGATAATAAAAAAAGCGGATTACGAGGGTGACAAAAATCGCAACTCGCGGAATAATGTGCCGAATAGAAAATACGTAAATCAAAATGATATATAAGACGACTGGAATGACCCTCCTCCGGTCTCTTCATAGTTAATCCACGAATTTTTATGATAGACAGATAAAAGCACGCGGCGAAATCACAGGGAAAACGCAAACTTAATAAACCGATATTGCGCGAGTATTGCGAGCGAGTTTATAAGAAAAGTCTGCAAAATACGTGGGGAATTCCTAGGTAAAATAATTAGATACGGTAGATTGAAATAGTTTTTTTATAGGTGCACAGCCGTGGCCACGGGGAGGGCCAGAGGGCTGCGTTACCGTGCCTTGCCGCCACGGGGCAGTCGGTGGCACGCGTGCAACAACGCATCGGTTGGGTATCTGGACCGAACTTCTTTCTACCTGTTTCATCTCCATCCATCGTGCGGCCTCCTGAGTCGCGTTAAACTCGACGAATGCGAAACCTCGCGAAGCACCTATACAGAGCAAATACACACATATCCAGAGTTAATCCACGTTTTTGCCTGAGTTTCTCTACTCTGAGAGGGCAGGCAATCACAGCACCGACCATTGACAGACTGAGTTTCAAACGAAGTGTCTCTTCGCTTCGTCGCTTGCTTTTCATTTTCCATTTACCTAAATTTCAGTAGAACGAATTCCGTGCGAGAGAGACCGTAGTTCACTGATATACGTGAACAAGATAAGCATATAATTTAAAGTTACGGATTTTTTTTCTTTTTTTTTCTCTCTCTCTTAAACGCCGAGCCAAAAATGGCAAAAATTTCTTCTTTTATCATTCTAACGCAAACGAACAAGAACGATGTAGACTTTTGCGAATAAAAAAAAATGCCAACAACAAAAACCGTTCCCGGACGTATATATTAATCGTATACCATTTATATAATCTGTAGTAGTAGTTTAACTTATAAATCAATAAGAAAGGCATTGTTTTAATAATATACAATATTTTATTTTAATTTGAAATATAAAGTTTTAAAAGGAAAATTTAAGAGAATTTAAGAAAATTCAAGCCTATATTTTAAACAATTAATTGATAAAGATTAATATATATATATATATAAATATATATATTTTTGAAAATATACATGTAAAATATTTTTAGTCTTCAAACTTTCTTTGAAACTTTATATTACAAAAGAAATATAAGAATAGCTGTATTATTATTAAAATAATGCTTTCACATATAACAAGAGTATTCTAACTGAAGAATTGTTATATGTTCCTATAATTTTATATATATATATATATATATATATATATATATATTATACATATATATATATGTAAATTATATTAGCCTAAATTATATTGAACAGAGAATTTTCCATTAAAATGTATAAAAACGTGATATTTTTTTGTAAGTAATTGTATTTTAAAGAAAATTTAAGCTATTTCATTTAGCTGTTTCATGTCTTAACAAGTAGCTTGTCCTCTTTTCAAAATCCCTCTCCCACATTTTTCTATACTTACCTTGTACGAAGAATATGATAAATTTTGTTTACAATCAATAGCCAAATTAACAATATTTTGGGAAGATTGATCAAGAAATATGATGACAATTCTTAAAACTCTAAACTAGCAATTTGTAAGAAATTCTTGTAAATCTCCTATACGACATGTTTGTCCGGTTTATGCAATTTTGTAAACGCTAATGGTTGTACAAGCCTAACGATACGCAACAATATTACAAGTAATAATTCAGTTGGTATGCTTAATTACATCACAAGGATGTTAAAGCTTTTAACATAAATGTAATAGTTACCTGTATCTTTTTTTCGTATCAGCCTGATGTCCTTGGGCATGAGACCACAGTTGAGGATGTCTTGCCGCACCTGTGATACACACATCATGATAATAATAGTGATGCCATGCCCGATAACGCTGGCTCACGAGTAGCCACTATGTCAGGCCACTAAGTTGACAACGTACGTCATTTTCAGTAATATGCTGAGCGAGCCCACGTATCATTATGGTGTTGTTGGGCGATTGCGATTTGTAGTGGATCCCCTCCATGGATGAGCCATAAGCGCGACCATGGTCGTGCTCAAAGTCCAAACTCTCCCGACTGTGATCGTCGTCGCGATCGCGATCCCGATCCTCCCGTTTACCCCTACGGTCCCTATCTCTATCCCGATCCCTGTCGCGCCTGGAACGATCTCTATCTCTGTCCCGGTCTCTATCCCTATCCCTGTCTCTCTCTACAGAGTCTCTATCCCTCTGCCTTCCATAACGATCCTCGCGGTCCCTATAGCTGCGATCACGATCGTCTCTGCTACGGTCCCTCCTATCCCTCGAACGATCTCTTTCGCGGTCTCTGTCTCTTCCACGGTGATTTCTGTAATCTGGGCTACGATGGTCCCTATCACGATGATCGACATCACGATGCTCCGAATACTCTGGTGATCTGTTGTTTCCATAATCACTGCGATAGTCATAGTCGGAATTGTGACTTCTTCTTTCCGGCCCATAGCCAGGCTCCCAAGGGTCGATGTTATTGCTGTACATGTTGTTTGAACATTTATTCGATTTCTGCAAAAAAAAAAAAAAACGTCTTCATATCTAAAAATTAAGAAAATTCGTTTTATGTAGAATAAATTCCAAACATAATGTCATTAACTTCATAATATATCAGTACACAAGTTAAAATAATAATTTTATATCTCTTTAACAAAGGATATAAAAAAATAATGTTATGTATATATCTATAGTATATATCTATTGTTTAATTTTTCTGATGTTTTCAAGTTGTATTGTTAACATTAAGTATTATATTCAAAATATCCTGACTCTTTCATATAAAATTAAAATTTTAATCTTAAGTTTTTTGATCAATTTAGAGAAGATAAAAATGCACTTTAGTTTTCAAAGCAATATTTTAAGATGCATACAATAACAATAGAAACACTATATTATATATTATACATTTTCAAATAATAAAGTGTTCCAATAATCATTACTTTAATACATTATCAAAACACAAATATTTACACAAACATTATAAATTGAAGGGCATCCTGGAAAAACATTGCAATCATCATTTTTAAAAAGTTTTAATTGAAAGACCTTATTTGTATATTGGCTAAACATGTGGTGAAATTTAAAAATTAGATGCAACCTTCTTTTAAAAAACTCTACAATTTTTTAAAAGCTTTAAAGCAAATTCAGATTTTTCGTCTTAAAATCTCAACTTATAGCGTATTCAATTTGTTGATTCAACCCGACTGAATCAATGGTCTCAGGTCTGTCCTGTTTAGCTATTTCTTACTTCTTAATTCTTCTTAGTTTAATTCTTTTACAGCTAAAAAGGACAGACCATCGACTCGGAATCGGGTCGAATCAACAAATCGAATATGCTATTAAACACAATTAAAAAAAAAAGTAGAAATCAATTTAATGCAATAGCTCTTTGTACGCATTATGACAGCGACGCGTTTTACACCCGATGCGATATTAGAGCAGCAACGGCCAGACGAAGCGCGGATTATCGAGCGTCCTAAATACGACGCATTCGTCGCGCTTCGAACAAAAGCACGTCTTGGCCCGGGTGTCTCGGCGAAGTCACGACGCAGACTTTGTCGTGTGAAGATATGTCTCAACGCATACCGTTGAATAAACCTCACCTGCTGCAACGATTCCTCGTCCGTACGTATTAAGCGCTCAGAATCGACGGTGACGAGTAATACCGCGATGCTCGTTTTTCGCTATTTCACGGCGAATGCACGACGAATGTATGACAAACAGAAAATTAATGTAATGCGCACATAATGGCGTTGCCAAGCTCCCAAGCTCCTCGTTCGATCTGCAAAATATGGCGGCTTCGCGAAGCGAAGACGAGCCGAAACCATAAATTTAGTATAGATAGGTCCAGTATGTCGTATGATTTCTGTTGTTCTGCATTAGGCCCGTTCTACAATACGTCGTATGTCGGGTCGTAAACCGTAAGTCGTAAGAACTGACCAATCACAATTGAATGTAAGAAGAATATTCGATTGTAATTGGTCAATTCTTGCGACTTACGGCTTATGATCCGACATACAACGTATTGTAAAAGGGGGCCCTCATGCTTTATTTTCGTGCCAGCCAAAGGGCCCGGAGATAATTGCAGAGCGTCGATGTTATCGACTTTTGACATAAATTTGCGATTTATTTAAATAATACATTATTAAAATTATTATTTTTATTATATAAATACTTTATAAATAAGTATGAATAATTATAATGCTACATCATATATGCTGCCGCAAAATTACATTTTTTTCCAACTGTTTTACTATCTCTTTGGATAATCAAACACTACAAATTTTGAAGTGATCACTTTTCTACATTAATGCTTATAGTTTATGCATGATATTTCGTTTCGTTAATTGTGCATGGACTATAAGCATTAATATACAAAAGTGATCACTTCAGAATTTTTAAAAATTTTCGAGGAACAGAATCAATTACCGTGGGTGTACACTGTACATGTCTAAAAAATATTGATCTATTAATAAATCATAAAATTAATAATATATTATTGACTAATTACTTAAATTTTAGCAATTACTAAACAGCCACGATAACTCCCGTAAGACTATTGGTCTTTAAGTCCCGAAACACAATAGATATAGTAAGCCTTAAAGGTGCCATTTCATGCGCAGTGTGAAATCGCAGCAATTCGTTACTATTGGTTAAAAATTTTAGTTAGATGACGCACATTCGGCGCAAAATATTTTGCAGCATCTTTTTGAAGTTCAACCAAACGAACAGCAAAAGCGAACGAGTAGCAAAACCAGTGAGATATACACATACTAAAGTTAGAGTCCTAGATTATCAGAGAAGCGCGACCGGTGTTACGAGTCCTGATTGGACACGCAAATGGCCAATCATAAGATTGATTTATTCGACAGCCATTTATAATACCGATAAATCAATCTTATGATTGACCATTTACAAGTCCAATCAGGACTCGTAACACCGGTCGGGCTTCTCTGATAACCTAGGACTCTAACGTCCCCAAGCTGCAATGGCTGTCATTCTCGCACTACTGTTGCACAGTTCGGCCATCCCCACCACCTCAAGGCTCTCTCCAGTATGTTATATATCTCACTGGGTGCGGTCCACTTGACGCTACAAATGCTTCGAAGCATTTAATTGACCAATCAAAAGAAAGAATTTTTACTAATTAACCAATCGAAAAATGCTCCGAAGCATTTGCAGCATCAAGCGGACTGCAGCCACTGGTTAATAATTTTTGCTTTCTAGTTTCTGCTTTTCTTGCTACCAGTGCGAGTTCTGATTGGCTTCTGCTTTTCTGTTTTCTGGTTTTCTGTCAAAGTATGAATTCGCCCTAAGACTCTAGCTATACTGTGCTCTATGACTCAACATAACGACATCTCATGGCATTCCGTGGCACATCAATCTTTTGTCATCAGATTCTCTCTGCTTTGCTGCGTTCTCGGTTCTCTATCGTGTGTTATCGTGCTTTAATCGTTCCCTCAGATAAATCGGGAAAATGGCCACTCGTCTGCTAAAAATTAGCAGCGCGTTGCGTACATATTCCAATAAAACCAGCCTTGTAAAGGTAAAACAAATTATATTTTACAATGCGATTATCGCATCGTAATAGCAATTTTAGCTTCACAGTCGATCCATTTATGTATTTATTTGCACTCGAATTGGTCTCGAGATTCGTACCTTTCCCTTACGTAATAAGAACAGAAAATAATAATTTTAGCGCATATAATGTACAAAAACAGCGTGATTGTTTAACTTATTTGTTTATGTTATTTTATTATGAAATTCAATAAAGCGGAAAAACTCGAAATGCATTCATATGTAACTAACCTAACTCAGTCAATCTCTCGTGTTAATCGTTTTATTTCTTTTGACAGATGTGATTTAATGCATCTTTTATAAAGAAAAATATTTAATAGTACATGTACCTAGTCATTAATTAAAAACATGCCAGTAATGTAATAAATACTGAATGAATTTATTGAAATTTGAAATTCATATAATATGTTACGAAGTGTTTGGTAAAATGTTAGATGTATTAAAATATTTATTAAAAATGTAGATATATTAATATAAAGATTCATAATCTTGTTTTAGTAAATTGAATGTTGGTAAATTGTTGTATATTTTTTAATGGGAGGTATACATTATTTACATTTTTTTAATGATACTTCCATAGGTATCGAAACAATGGCAGTCAACTGCCACTTCTTTGAAAGAAGCACTCATCAATCAACCAGCTACAAGAGTTACAACTTTGGATAGCGGAATGAGAGTTGCCAGTGAAGATAGTGGAGCTGCCACAGCCACTGTTGGTCTTTGGATAGATTCTGGTAGTCGATATGAGACAGATGACAACAATGGTGTTGCTCATTTCATGGAGCATATGGCTTTTAAGGTAAATCAAATAGTATCATTAATTAAAAATGATATTTAGTTGCGATAGTAATTTTTGGTAATAGTTTTAGGGTTCTGTGTAATGATTTGCCTGTGATTAAGCTGGAGTAAATTTTGAATAATAAAACTATAATGCATGATTAATGATTTTATATATATATGTTTATTGTGATTTTTATGTTTAGCTTTTTCAATAAGTTTGTTATTATGTCTTCTACTATTATGTTTGATAGAATCTTTTGTTTATAGGGAACTGCTAAACGCTCTCAAACCGATTTGGAATTAGAAATAGAGAATATGGGAGCACATCTGAATGCTTACACGAGTCGAGAACAAACAGTGTTTTATGCAAAATGCTTGTCACAGGATGTACCAAAGGCTATTGAGATTCTCAGTGATATTATACAAAATTCTAAGCTGGGTGAAAACGAGATTGAGAGGGAACGTGGTGTTATTCTACGTGAGATGCAGGAGGTTGAAACAAATTTGCAGGAAGTTGTATTTGATCATTTGCATGCCGCCGCATATCAAGGTACATCCTTGGGACGAACAATACTGGGGCCTACTAAAAACATCAAAAGTATCTCGCGAGACGATCTTGTTACATACGTGAAGACTCATTATGGACCATCTAGGTAAAGCTCTTATCGATTGATTTATATAACTAAAATTGATTAATGATTGCGAAATATTTTAATATCAATTTCTTTAGATTTGTATTAGCTGGTGCTGGCGGTGTAGATCACAACCAATTAATCGAGCTTGCCGATAAGCATTTCGGCAAAATGACAGGACCGAATTATGATAATATACCAGATTACGTTAAATCCTGTCGTTATACTGGCTCTGAAATAAGAGTTCGTGACGATTCGATTCCTCTCGCTCACATTGCGATTGCTGTTGAAGGTATTAGAATTTTAAATTTTAAATTTATAACTTATAGAATTTATAGAATAATCAAATGTGTTGGTCATATTAGGTGCTGGATGGGCTGAGGCAGATAACATTCCTCTTATGGTTGCAAATACTCTTATTGGAGGATGGGATCGTAGTCAAGGAGGTGGCGTAAATAACGCAAGCAGTTTAGCTAAAGCTTGTACAGAACAAGAGTTGTGCCATAGCTATCAGAGTTTTAACACATGTTATAAAGTATGTATTAAATAAATGTCGCTGTGAAACAGTAGTTATAATCATTAATATTTGTCGAATCAATGAATGCATATTTTGTAATTTTGCAGGATACAGGACTTTGGGGTATATATTTCGTTTGTGATCCTATGAAATGTGATGAGATGACATCATATATTCAACATGAATGGATGAAACTGTGCACATCGCTTACTGAGAAAGATGTGGCACGCGCAAAGAATATTCTTAAAACCAATATGTTTTTACAGTTGGATGGAACTACCGCAGTTTGTGAGGATATTGGCCGTCAAATGTTATGCTATAATCGCCGGCTTCCATTACACGAGCTCGAGATGAGGATAGATGTATGTAGTTTCTATTATACGGATTAAAACATTTTCATATAAAAGAATCTAAATTGCAAGAAAATTAATTTCATTAACGTCTATGAACTATATATATATGTATGTAAGATACATCAAGTTATAAATATTCAATATGAAAACACGTGACAGGATTTGTTGTAACAAAATTTTATTCCTTTAAGAAGATACATAGAATATATTTTAATATATGTAGATTGTGTAATTTATTTTTCAGAGCGTAACTGCTGAGACCATTCAAAATGTTGGTATGAAATATATTTACGATCATTGTCCAGTGATTGCAGCAGTTGGTCCTGTCGAAAATTTAGGGGACTATAATAATATTCGTGGAGCTATGTATTGGCTCAGGGTTTAATCATCTTCAAGCATCAGTTATTAATCAATTTTAGCGTATTAATTAGAAATACAATATAAATCGACGATATGCATACGCTGGCTCATGATAAAACATGCAAGTCGATTAATACTAACAAATCAGTTTCTAATAAACATAAAAATTGCATCTTTCCCTATATGAGATTGTAGTTTTATTTTGCCATTTATCAAGCAAATGTTCAAATGTATATTGTTTGGCGAAAATAAACCTCAGTCGAAAATATATATGTTTTAGATAGTTATTTAATATATAATTTAAAAAATAAATATTAATTCAAGTGAGAGAAATCTGTGTAGAAAATTCCTCGGTTTAATCGATATTATGAGAATGTTTTTCTTTATCTCTAATTTCATTTTTTATATATTTAAAATATTAAATCCTAAAATACTAAATGTATGATAATGTAAAATATTTTTAAAAAATTAATATTTTCCAAAAACAATTGCATAAATATAAAAGATGATAAAAGATGAAAAAAGGTAAAAATAATTCTGTCTAAAAGCAATTTTAATTTATGGTATTAAGAAATAAGTAGATAATATATTTTTATTTATACAATACACATACAATTGTCGTGAATTATTTAGCAGAGTAGATACAAAGGAAGCAGAATATTTTAATCGATATTTGTACTTTTCTGGACTGTATTATTCATAGTATATGAAAAATATTATGATAATTTCAAATATGTTTAAAATAAATTTTAAATATAGGCACAAATCTTAAGTAAAAGTATAAATTTCGATAAAATAATTCACTGATTGTGAGTTCTGTAATCTGTTCATTGACAAGTAATTGTTATTTACTTTAATATTAAAAAATATAAGATACAATCAATACTATTAATATTACTACCAATATTATTACCATTAAAACGCAAAAAATATAATCATAAATGAATTTGAAAAATTACAAATCTGTACTTAAGAGTTAATTCAGTTAATTAAGTCGTAAAATTACAATATTTATTTATTAATATGAAAAAAATGATTGATTACAATTTATTATAATAATCTTTGGCATAAATAAGATTAATATAAATCTGAAATTGACGTTTTTCTTAATATCTATATTGATTATAAAGATATAAAATTTTTTATTCTGTTAAATTAGTGATAAGTAAATTTGTTACGTTAAAAAGATTTATAAAATACAATGTTGGAGTTAAAATATATATTTTAATAGAAAGAATATTTCTTATTTATAAAAATTTGTATTAATATTTGTATTTCTTGCACACAAACTATTTGAATAGTTAATAATAGTAGTAGGAAATGAGAGATGATAGTATTTTCTTGATTTTATTATTTTTATTATGCTGCACATATCTAAATAAGCTTTATATTCCAGAATAAATGTTTGCACTATTAATTATGTTAACTGTATTACAAATTCTCTATTATTTTGTAATCATTAAATTTTTCTATTAATTTTCGTTTAATTAATATCTATAGTATCATATTTTAAAAAAGAAGAATGTTTCATTGTCTATCTGATATTCCAAATAAAATATGCAGAGACTCCAAATAAAATCTATAAGTATAAAAAGTAAAGAAAAAGTAAGTAAAATTAATTCTTGGAGAATTGGACAACGTTATATAATTATTTAATATAATGTCTAGTATAAATAAGATACTAAAGAGCTAGAAAAAATACAATGTTTGAAACTCAACATTTTAAATTTAAAAGTTCAATGTAAGTTTAATATATTTTAAATTTAAAAGTTTAATATCTCATAACAAAGAGATTCCATTTGAGATTTTGTATTACAGTGTCTTAAACAATATATATAAATATTGAGTATATATATAAATTGTTAATTTTGGAAATAATATATATAACAGCTTATTAAATATTGCACCTATGATTATGATTTTTAAGCATAATTATAATATAAATATTAAAACAAATGTTTTGTAAAAAGTACATATTATGTTATGACTATTTTCTTTTTTTCAAATTAAATATTAAAAAAACATTGTTTATATTTACAAATATGCTAAAAAACTTTTGCAATAAGAAAATGTACATAAGACATTCTTAAAATGTTATCTAGATGTAACAAATTATCTTAAGAAGTTATGCCACCCTTGAAGCCTTAAAAGATACCTAAGTTTGGGATTTTTTCGTGGGTAAATAGATAACTTTATTAAAAATCTGTTTAGAAGACGTTATTGTATATATATACATATAAATATTTTTTAATTTTTTTTGTCCAAAATGATGGCTCACTAGCCTACTTACGGAATCCCTTTTTTCTATAGCTTCAAATCGGTGTACAAGGTCCCAGGCACATGGTTTTACTTTGAACAAAACATAAAGAATTTTCATTATCTACATATTAAAGAGTAATGAAGTATGTAGGGATTTTTCAAAATATTGATTTTTCTCGAAATGGTAGCTATTTCACGAAAAATGTTTATATTTTTCGCCAGTACACAAGTCTTTCGTAAAATAGCTGCCATTTTGAGAAAAATCAATATTTTGAAAAATCCCTATGTATTTCATTAGTCTTTAGTATGTAGATAATAAAAATTCTTTGTTTTGTTCAAGGTCAAACCGTGTACCTGGAATCCTGTGCACCAATAAAAAAAAAAAAGGGATTTTGCAAGTGTAGACCAGTGCGCCGCCATTTTGGACATAAAAAATTTTTTTAGTACATTATATATAAACAATAATGACCTTTAAGCATATTTAAAATAAAGTTATCCATTTACCCACAAAAAATCCTAAACTTTAGGTATTGTTTTAAAATCTCAAGGGTGGCGTAATTCCTTCAAAAAAAGGCATATACGTGATTAATAATATATCATAAACTGTTTCTATCTTCATATGAAATGAGTGATTTTACTATGGTTTTACCTATGCTTTTCTTTATGTCTCTGGAAGTTCTGTGATTTTACTAATAAATTGTAATTATCAGTTTCGTCAAATGTGACGATGAAATAACTATCTGCTTTGATTGTTTGATGGTGCTGTGCTTTGAGTAGGAGAAACACTATCCTTACAAACTTTGGCAGTCATTTCTGCTAACGGTTCTAATTCCTTAGAATTAACTAAATCAAATTCTGTTACAAAATAGTAGAAATGCTTGTAACATGTGTTTACGTGTGCTTCCTAAAATAATAATATTGATATAATTTACCTAAGGATCTCTGTAATATAGTATAAAATACTAAAAGTACTAAAAATTAATATACTTACTGCTCCTATTGCTACAATGCGATCAAAATGATGGATATACACATGGACAAAAACTCTAAAGAGACGCGTCAAAATTTTTCTACATAGTGGTATAAATGTTTTGGGAAATGGCACATCTGTAATAAAATACCTTATATATCCATGTATAAATCATCAAACAGAGGATTACTTTAGATTACATAGCATTATAAAACAGATGTGAAACCTGTTGACACTGGAAAAACTGCTTCATTATTAATTTGAGCTTCAGTCCAATCCATGAGAAGAGCAACATATTGTGGCGCTGGTAATGCTGTTGGTTTTTTATATTTTTCACCGTCTGCCCACAAATATTCAAAACGTGCCCCACCACTCATCGTCGGACAGGATGCTGAATCGCAGTACTCAGACACAGTACCGTATATAAGATTTATTCTATTAAAAAAGTCTACAACTAAAAATAAAAAAAATATGGTTATATTCTATCTAGTATAGTATAGTATATTCTTTCCATGCAGACAAGAATGGGATTAAAGTTTTCAACTATCAATAATATATTTTTGTATCAAATATAATGTAAAAATAATGATAAAACCTAGAAAATGCATATCAACATATTTTTAACAAAACTTTTGCATAGGTTCATCTTTATATTACTATTAAATATTTAATGTACCATGCACGGCGATCCAATCATTTAAATCTTCTCCAAGAGGCAATTTGACAACAGATCTTAGATTGATTCCGGAATTAAGAGAAGCTTGAGCTTGCTTGTGTAAAGAATAACGCAACGTTCCGTGAGCAAATTTTTTCTTTGGCCTAAATGTCTGTAATTACAATACATCTATGTACTATATATATATGAATACATAACATGTGAGTTTCTATAACAATTGTACGATACAAGATTGTAATAAATATTACGCGATTTTTATATAATATTCCTTGGATATATTATATATGTATCCAAAGAACATTACATACAAATAATTACAGGGAAAATAAATTGTAGCAGGTTAAACGAAAATCAGTTCTAGATTAATCTACCTTAAAATTTAGTCGCCCCAATAAATCTTTACCTTGCCTTTCTGGAAGAATTCTATAAATCCACTTAATGTAGTCATCGTGCCTGCAAGGATTCTGTCACTATTATTCACATATAAGTTATAGTCTCATAAGAAAATTGAGGGAAAATCGGCTGACTGGCCTATACGTAGTTTCGAATTTTCATCTTAAAAATCGCCCGCTACGTATATACACACAATGTTTTACCGGCACCAACAAATTAAAGCGAAATATTTTGTTTGATACAGACACAGTATAGTCAGTATAACCAGTAGGTACACTTCGTGTCGGCACCCTTGATTTCCTTTTCTAGATCACGTGAGCATATAAACTCTTTGGAGCATCTAGAGTCCTAGATTATCAAAGAAGCGCGACCGGCTTATGGCAGTATCGCAAAAGTACTAGAAAATATTAAAAATGGCGTCGAATGGCCAATCATAAGTTTGATTTATTCGGCAGCCATTTATAATAGCGATA